TTAAAAAAACTACCATTATTTCATAAAATACAGAACATATTTAACTCCCCCAAATTAGAAGGATATCTCTTATAACAAGAAGTAATCCTTTAAATGGAAAAGTTTTGCTTTAAAAAACTCATGGCCTGTTGTCCTTATTTTCCTCACTTCAACATGGACCAGTAAAAACTATTCACTGACCAGCACTGGTCTAAAACAATCAATGTTTGGGAACTACTAGACTAGGTCATTTTCAAGGTCCAAGGTTCAAACACTCTGATGCTAATTTTAGGTGCTCTGTTGTATTTCTTTTATTCTATGTGATTGTCTACAATAGGTGCCTCAGTGAAACACAATGCTAATACTTAAATTTTTGAAGATCCGAAATATATTTAAATCAATTTGAGAAATACTAACTAGAATAAGCTTCAATGTATTGGGGAAAGTATACACTAGTACAGATTTGACTTCAACAATAATGAACCCTTCACTGGACACGTACTTACACTAAGCCTATTTTACAGATCAGGAAAAATTAAGGAAAAGGGAAGCTAAACAGCCTGTAAGTCTCAAAACATTGGAACTCCAATCTGTGACTCCATTTTTTGGTATTACTCAAGGAAAAAATATTTTATTTAGATTTTAATTATCACTTCCTCTTTTATAAATGACTGACAGATGGTTTAAATTTTTAGGAGTCACACAAGGTAAAAAGTTGACCAATTACTTTTCCAAATGCTGTCTTTTTAACACAAACATAAATATTGAGAAGCGTTTTCTACTATAAAAAGAATCAAGATGCCTGTTAGTATGGTCAGTTAATTTTCTCCAAAAGCTGACAGAATTAAAGTTTAGAATTTTTAAAGGACAAATACTTACAGATTTCCTCTTTTTCTCTTAAGAACACGTGTATCTTTTGTGATTTCAACCTGCAATAAAAGACAACATTTATGGGTACAGTGACATGAGAAAAGATCCCCTTAAAAACCAAAAACAAAAAAAAACCAAAACCTCAAGTTATTTCACATTACCTATGCATCTTAGCTCATGATGAACAAAGTACCAAAGGAAAAACACTAAATGACTAGAGATGTATCTAACTAGAAGTAATGCTATTAGGATCTCAGAAAAGTAACCGAGCCTGACTCTAAGAAACTGTAGTACAAACTCTATGGGAAAATGGCAAGATTAAAAAATACACAGAGGAACTAATAGACATTTTTCCAAAGAGGACAACAAATGACCAACAGGCACATGTAAAGGTCCTCAGCATCACTAATCATCAGGAAAATACACATCAAAACCAAAATGAGATACCACCTCACACCTGTCAGAATGGTTTTTATCAGAAAGACAAGAAATAACAAGTATTGGCCAGGATGTGGATGAAAGGGAACTCTTGTGCACTGTTGGTAGGGATGTAAATTGGTGCAGCCACTATGGAAAAACAGTATGGAGGGTCCTTTAAAAATAAAGAATAGAACTACCATATGACCCATCAATCTCTCTTCTGGGTATCTACCTGAAAACTTTGAAAACATTTATTCATAAAGATACATGTGCCCTTACATTCATTGCAGCGTTATTCACAGTGGCCAACAAATGGAAACTAAAGTGTCCTTCGATAGATGACTGGATAAAAATGTGGTACATACACACAATGGAATACTTCTCTGCCATAAGAAAAGATGAAACACTGCCATTTGAGACAACATGGATGGACC